AATAAAACAGGACGGGGGTGGGGGGGTGGGGCGGACGGGCATAAGGGAGGGCGCGGTCATTTCATTCCCTGGACAGTATAATTCGAATAATTTGTATGCACACGCATCCTTTTTTCCGTCACTTTGTTTTTTTATACTTTTTTGTCCAACTATTCACTCCAATTCACGATCGCCCGTCATTTGCGTTCCTCTCGGGCCCTGTTTTCCATGCACAACAATTCTCGGTCATTGCACCTGATCACAGTCCATGCCACCGATCAATCATCTGCCGGTCCGGATTTGCCTAAAACGTTCTCCCTGATTGCCGGAGGATTGGCCGGACTGACCGGGAAGACTGCGGTCTATCCATTGGATCTGATCAAAAAGCGTCTGGAAATTCGCGGCTTCGAGACTGCACGCGAGGTATTCGGCCAGTTGCCACACGCGTACACAGCGTCCTCGTACAAATATTTGCTTCGATCCCGGTCTGAACAACACCCGCTCAACTTGTTGCGTACCCAATTCTACGCCTCGTTTTTGTGCATGAAAGATATTGTTCACCACGAAGGTTGGCTTGGTCTATTCAAAGGTTGGCAACCGTCTGCCCTCAAAGCGCTGATCAGTACCGGTCTGACATTCATGTTCTTCGAGCATTTTCGAAACTTGCTCCATGCGTTAGACTCACCTCAGTGATATATACCCCTCCCTCATTATGGTTTTTCTTTTTTTCATTTTCGGGACAATCAAATTATCCATGCCCTCTTTTAAGGCGCAGACCCCCCCCCGGGACTGCGTCCGTTCAAATGTTAGTGCGTATGTTCTTGTTCCCCCAATTTTTTGCATTCATCGCAGTTACACGAACACATGAATTTCACCAGGCTTCCGCCGATTATAAATAAACGCGTGGGTAACCACACGTTACAAATGTGTTTGTGTGTAGTTCAGGGAGTCCCTTAACTTATTTGTGTTTTTTGTGCACCCCGAACGAAATCATCAACTGTCTGGCTATCATCCCTTCAGCACCCTATCGATTGTTCCGGACCACACCCCATTCCTCTCGCTCTTTCTCTATCCACATTTTCCCTATCTAATACAGCCAGCGTCCGAATCATCCCTTCATTCACTCTACTTTTGCAATCACAAACTCTATACTCCTTGGCATCTTGAAACCTCCTTGCGGTTTTATCATATTGATAGGGACTATTTTTCGTGTGCTGTGGTTAGTTTTCTCTGTCCGATCTTTTTCCGTATCGGGTATTTCGATTTAGACAATTGTATTGCGCCTCTCCCGTCGATGGTAAACCTTTTAACCCTCGAAATTCCTTAGATTCCCGCACTATTCGATCAGATTGTTTCTGGAGCTGTGCAATCAGTTGACATGTGCTTCCAGCCAATAGTTGTTGGTATCAACCAGATAGAAAGTAACTGTCGTCTTGTTGCTGTTGTTATTTTGTGAAGATAGGATTGCGGGAATGAGATGGAAGGCTATTGTTTCATTCACTATCACTACCGGTATTATTGTTATTTTGTCTCGAAACACAAGTTGGACTATTTGTGTTTACCAGTGATTACATCACTCATGAAAGACTCGTGGTTATGCAATCGAATATGCAATAGTTTTTGACAAGGAAGCAGCTTACGACATGTTCAAAACGGATTACTCACTTCTTTCGAGTGGTGTTTTCGAACGTCTTCGATAGCAGTGCTTTTCATCTGTCTGAAGTGTTTTTATTCATTAGCTATGTTGTAGATCTGAATTTGCGATCAAGACCGCAAGCAGATCCAGATAACTGAAGCCTATGGGGATAGATCATACCCAGTTGGATTGGTATTCGAGTAAGCGCGTGGGTGGCCTGCTGAACGATACCACAAAGTCAGTAGATTGTTGTCAGAATATCTGTTAAAAAGAAGGGCCAAAAGCAATCAGCGACGCTTCTGGTAGTGCTATCGAGAAACTCTATGTTTGTGAACTTGATCTTTTGGCTAATATGAATATATGATTAAGGAAGTTCTTACAGAATTAGGTATATTGATATAAATCCAATGCTGGATGCAGCAAGAAGCTAACGCATATTCCAGTTTAAAATCGCTGCTCAAATACAAAATTATTTTTACAATTGCGCCCCGTCAACCTATTGGTCAGAAGCATTTTAATTTAGCAGCGGAACATACAAAGACAGTTTTACCAGACGGAACAACCAGACCTTCAATGTAACCCAGTTTGGGATTAATTGCTAGCGTTCCCCGTGAACGATGTCTCCTAAAATTTGGTGTTCCAAATCATTTTCTCCCTCGTATGACTACTAGGGACCGTGAAAATAGCAGCCAAATTAATGAAAATCAATGCATTAACCAGCTGTGAACGAACCACTGAAAATAAAAGAATCTTTTTGTCAAAGCTACAGTGATACATCTGTAAATAGAACTGTATTTCTTTCTTTCCAAGAGTCCATAATCTGATTCAAATCGAGAGCGTGTATTGGCATCATCATCATCATCCTATACAGTAAGACAGCAAAGCGAACTTCACTGATCCCTGCCAAACTCATATTGCATACAAGTGAGAATGTGTAAGGAGGATTGGGATTGAACTTAATTGTAGGACGGGAATAGAAAGCAAACTTCTATGATCAAAACACAGAGTTCACAGTTCAACTGTGCAAACACACTGTTTCAAGCATTCTAGTCTGATAAGAAGTGACAGCAAGATCTTCATTGCTGTCGGTTCGCAGTCATGACCTTCAGTGTCTCCAACCATGAGGTTACAGAGTCCTCTGAACCCCAACCCGGAAGACGAGAAACACATACTCTACCTAATCGCTTTGTGCATTTCTTCATGTCTCGTCTCCGCGTCATCTGCTGACCTCCACGCAGCTTTCTCCTGCCTGCAGCAGCGAATGCGAATAAGGCGCGCTGCGGTAGCAAGCTCTTGTTCGATGCATTCTCAAACACCTGACGACTTACTTCTACATTACTAACCCGCTCACTCCATTCTACTTGGACCGGACTACGGGAGCATCGCTTATCGAAACCACTAGACGATGGATGTCTTCTACCCGCAAATTCAAGGTCTCACAACCGTAAATTAGAACTGATTGTACGGTGGCGCAGTTTACGCGACTCAACTTCAATGAAACATAACATCGCCGCCACAGGTGTTTAAGTCCTGCGTAAGCTGCTCGAGCCTTGGAAATGCGGGCGGTTATCTCTTCTGATGTGCTACCGTCGTTGATGACTCAGCTACCTAAGTACGAGAAGCAGTTAACTTCAGCTAATTCCTGACCGTCTAGTTTCAGAACAGAACTCGGTGACACCCAGTCTTATAGCATCGCTTTTCACTTTGAAGGTGCAAAGCACATGTCGAACGGAGCGACAGAACTTGCTAATCTGTCAAGTGCTCGTTGTGCATCCTCTAAAGATTCGAACAGGCAACGGATGTCCCTAGCGTACTCCAAAAAGCACAGCTTTTCTCCTGCTGTCCATTCATTACCCACATTTTGGAGACCACCTGGTGTGCTCTCCAGTATTTCGTCTATGACGAAATTGAATAGTAATGGCACAACAAGGCACCCTAGACGAACACCGCTGCTAGTTACGAACGACCTACTCAGCTCGCCGTAGACCCTTACACTACCAGAAGTAAGCGAGTAGAATGAACTCAGTATATTTACGTACTTCTGCGGCATTTCTTTGCGAAGGAGCGAATCCATAAGGGATTCACGATTTACTGATTCGAAGGCTCGTTTTAGGTCAAGGAGCATCAGAACCGTTGGTCGATGGTGCGTATGGCGTAGCTCGAAAACTTGACGCAAAGTGAAGATTCGATCGATATAACCA